AAACCCTACACACCACATGGTGGTGCATACAAACGATAAACCCTAAACCCTTTCACAACGAACTCATATAGGCAATTGGAGCGTCAAACGCCAAACCCTAAAGCCTAAACCCTAAACCCTAAACCCTAAACTCTAAACCCTAAACCCTTGTCTTACCCTTAAACTCTTCTGGAGAGTTGTTTGTGACTCTCTTCCACTGCTGCAGTCGCGTCCTGCAGCAAACCTCAAACCCTGATAAACCCTAAACCCTAAACCCTAAACCCTAAACCCTAGGGAGAGCGGCCAAGGTAAGGCCATCCAACGTGCTAGGGTTTAGGGTTTGTGCATTTTAAGGGTTTAGGGTTTAGAGCAACGAAAAAAAAACCGAAAAAAGACAAGAAGAGTGCGAACTCGGCAAGCAGTAAACCCTAAACCCTAAACCCTAAACCCTAAACCCTCGGGGGAGAAGCTGAGGTGTAATTAGGGTTTAGGGTTTACCTGCTGTCGTCTAGCACCTCCCCTGAGGGGCCCGAAACNAAGCTGAGGTGTAATTAGGGTTTAGGGTTTACCTGCTGTCGTCTAGCACCTCCCCTGAGGGGCCCGAAACCCTCCAGAAACATATCCGCCCCAGCTCGCTGCCGCAAACCACCCCCAGCCCGTTGGTTCTGTGCATACACCCAAACCCTAAACCCTAAACCCTAAACCCTAAACCCTAAACCCTAAATCGTAAGTCATAAACCCTAGAAACAAAACAAACACCAGAAAAATATTCACCCTAAACCCTCAATGCTTTGTACGGGTCGCTCACAAACAGAGAAAACCTCAAATAAAATAGTCTCCCGGGGTAACGCTAAACCCTAAACCCTAAACCCTAAACCCTAAACCCTAGAAAATTCACTCTTACGTGTAGCTCGCCTTCAACATTATTTGCGCGTTCACATGGCCCTTGAATTTGTAGACGCAAGTCAAGCTCTGCACAAAACCCTAAACCCTAAACCCTAAACCCTAAAACCCTAAACCCTAAACCCTAAACCCTAAATTCTAAAAAGTAACATAAACAAGAGGAGGGTTTACATAACGTCTCAGGGTTTGCAGTAGTTTGTTGGGTTAGGGTAGATACCAGGGTGTAGGGTTTTTACGAGGGTTTAGGGTTTTCACAAGGGTTTAGGGTTTAGGGTTTAGATGAGGGTTTAGGGTTTACAGAAACATCAAAGATGCGGATGCGAGAGTCGTTGGTGGCGACCAGCAAAGAGGTCCCGTCCGGCAGCCACTCCAAGCTAGTCACCTGAACAAACCCTAAACCCTAAACCCTAAACCCTAAACCCTAAACCCTAGGCCCTAAAAAAGCTCTCAATACTCGTCATCTAAACAAGCCATAAGCCTCAAACCCTAAACCCTAAACCCTAAACCCTAATTTCTTACCTTTCTCCCTTTTGCAAATTTCCCCTTTCGGTTCTTGCAGTCAACCTCTGAACAAAACTTGAGCGTCTGCACGCAAACCCTAAACCCTAAACCCTAAACCCTAAACCCTCAAGTTGCTGAAGCGGTTGAGAAGGCCCCAGATCTGAGTCGCTAAGCTGCAAACCCTAAACCCTAAACCCTAAACCCTAAACGCACCCTCGCGTCGTAGAAGGAAATGCTGCCGTTGCGAAAGCCAACGGCCAATATGCCGCCGCTGCATACCCACACAAACCCTAAACCCTAAACCCTAAACCCTAAACCCCAAACCCTAAACCCTAAACCCTAAACCCTAA